CTTTCTCCTTCTCGCTCCTCCCCGAATGCGACTCCGACTCCAACTCCCCGCTCTTCTCTTTCATTTCTCTCTCTCTTCCCTCCCACTCTTCTTTCCACAACTCACTAGGTACACAGTGACGTACGACGATAATTTCGACAATTCCGGCAACGGCCATCCTCGAGGTTGATCTCAATCAATTCCTTATCACATCAGGTAGCTTCTAGATCTATTGCATGTAAGCATCTACTTCAAATTTTTGGATTTTAGTACATTTTTCATAATTTGTAGAATTTTTCCTTTAAATTCTAGGTTTTTGAAAAAGTTGTTCACTGAACATTTTATGTGACTTCATTTTATCTGAATTATTTATTTAAATTTCCCCATCTCAGATATCTTTATGATTTTAGAAATTCTTTTATTAATTATTACCTATTTTTTTCATATTCATTGTCTGTAAAAAAAAATTTGATTTTCTTATCTATTGATTATGTTTTGAAGAAGTTGTATTAATTTTCCTTTGGCTGGAAATTTGGGGATTTCTTAATGTACAATGTTAATATACTGATTTTCTGATTGTGGGGTTTTGCAGGGAGTGCTAATGTACTGATTTTATGGGACCAGAAACGAGATGTTGATTTATCTGGTATTTATTTTATTTATTTCCCTTTTTTTGTTTAATTGTTTTTTTCTAAATTTAGGCTTGATGGACAAAATCTTGAAAATAACAGCCCCTATGCACATTGCAATAATTTTCCCTTAATTGATGCATTCTTCATAGCCTCCATGAATCGAGTATAGGACTTAGATGCAGAGGGTTGCGATGGGAACATGAAGACATATTTCTTCACTGTGAATCCTTACCCAGAATCGAATTCTTAGTAGAATTTTGTATTGCAGTAGTCCACATTTGTGACATCCCATATCGCCTAGGGAGTGGATCCTCTAAGGCTTATATGTATATTCTCATCTCTACCTAGTACGATGCCTTTTAGGAGCTCACTGACTTCGGGTTCCATTGGAACTCCGAAGTTAAGCGAGTTCACGCAAGAGCAATCCCATGATGGGTGACCCACTGGAAAGTTTTTGTGTGAGTTCCCTGAAACAAAACTGTGAGGGCGTGGTCGGGACCCAAATCAGACAATATCGTGCTACGGCGGAGTCAAGCTCGGAATGTGGGGGGGTCCGAGCCAGAATGTGACAACATTAGTCATTGTGTATTGCATAGTAGCTGTGTATTGCAATACTACTCCACAGTATTTAACATCTCAGCTTACAGTACACAAGGTTTTGCAATTGTACATATAATTTCGTATATCCAACAATCATTCATATATGATAGTCATATGCGATTTTGTAATCAACATGCATCAAACTATGAACTCAACCTTATCAATATTTCGTTTGATGTAAAAAAACGCAATTAGACGATAAAGAAAACTTACTACAAGTTTTGACATCATATGTCAAATGAACACGAAACTGGAGTATACTATGAACTTAAACGTAGGCATAAGGAATTTATGACGTGCACATATTAATCAAAAGCCACTTATATTGTAGATAATACTATTACATTCACATATATCTCATCTTGTGTATGCAAATAATATAATATTATTTGAGTTGTCAATTTAATGTGTGGTCATTGCCCACCCCATTAAAATACTTGCCTTAAAAGTGTATATCATCTTTTTCATTCTATTATTCCCAACAATGGTACTTTTACTGTTAATCAAATACTAAGTGTCAGTATATATGTGGTGTTTAAATTATAGTAAAGAATCCACATGCTTACAAAACCAGATTCCTTGTGGATTCCTTTGTTTTTTTTATCTACTTTTGCTGTTATTTTGATTTGTAATCATACTATTTTCGTTTCGAGTACTCTATTATGGTTGTAGTTCCTCTATCTTTTGTAATGGGCATTGACATTAAGTTTTGTACCTTTGGAAAATTTTCAGGTTCTAATAGATGGCCCTAACAATGCAACCACGAGTAAGTACCCTTATGCTTCATTGTTTCAAGTTTCTACTTTTTTTATCTGTAAAAAAAAATTCAATTAATTGGATCGCTATATCTCTTCTAACTTGGAAAATTCTTGAAGCTTGCGCGTGGACTTAATTGTTAAGTGGTTTCTCATTTCATGAAGGTAGTACCTTAAAATTTTAATAAAATGCAGAGTGAGTTGGAACTTCCATGTTCCAATTCCACTTCAACACCTTTCACAGCTGCTAATTTCGAACTTAGGGGTTCGAATTCTTGTCAAGTATGTGATTCTTGCAAAAGAGTTGTAAACCCCACCACTGAATGCCTAGTTTAGTTGTACACACACATGCACACTTTTGCATGTTTTGTACGATTTTAAACACCTGCAGCATCACACAAGCACACTTTTGCTAGTTTGCTACTGTAATGAAGAGAGTTACATTTACATAAAAAGCATAAAAAGCATGGTTTCCTTTAGAGATAGGGGACATACTCTTTATATCCCACTCGTAACTATAACTTTTTCATATTTATCTATCTATAGTTACCGACTTACCGTATTAGTTATGCAAAGTTATGTCTTATGGCTTAAACTTACCAAACGAGGTATATAATTTTTGCATGTAAGTCTCTCTCTCGTGTTTTAGGTAAATGGTTTCAAATTGAATTCAATTTTTGCAAAGATTTTTTATGAATCGAAACTTACAAAATAAATAGTTTAGATCGTTGAAGTTCGATGTAGTGTGAACTTTACAAAAATTTTATATATATATATATATACATACATAATTTGTGTGCGTACAAACTTATGTACCCTATGTTTGCGCATCTATAGCTTTGTACCCATACATATCTATTTGTGTTGCCTATTTTGGTTCGTCACTTCAACAAAATGTAACCAGAACAGAAGGTTATAAACTTTCTCACTCAACGAATCCTCGCCGTCCATAATCATCTAATCGACGGCTTCCGTCCTCGATCCGCGTACTTCAACCCATTGGCTCACATTCAAATCCCAACCCCTATAAATACCTTAAAACCATCTCACTGCTCCTCCATAGCACCAAACTCTGATTCCCTCAATCACTTATCGTTTCTTTCCTCTCTCTCTCTCTCTCTCTCTCAAATTGTTCTTGGAGGTCTATCAATGGCGGGTCGTGGGAAAGCTTTGGGATCCGGAGCCGCTAAGAAGGCCACATCGCGGTCCAGCAAGGCCGGTCTGCAATTCCCGGTCGGTCGTATTGCCCGTTTCCTGAAAGCTGGAAAGTACGCCGAGCGAGTCGGTGCCGGAGCTCCGGTCTACCTCGCAGCTGTCCTTGAATACCTTGCCGCTGAGGTATAAGCCCTCTTTCTCGATCTTTTAATTCCTCTTCATTTGTATATGGATGTGTTTTTTTTCTCCCTTTGTTGTAAATCTAGGTTTTGGGTTTCGAATTAGGAAATATTTTGTTTCAATTTAGTAATTCTGTGCAGAAATTACGTATAGAACATGAAAAATGTGAAATTTTCCTAATTTGTTCTGCATCTGCTTCTGATCAACCAATTTTAGGATCTTGGATCTAGGTTTCTTCTTTTCTTTGAATTAATTTATTTTATAATAATATTATTCATTTATTTTATTTTTGGCTGAATTAATTTGGTATTATTTTATTTTTCGTATTAATGTAGGGGGCTATTAACTTAATTTAATCGAATTCCTCATCCATTAATCTTTAAGTTATGATCTGGAGGTCGTTTTTGTTGAGGCATTGTTCAATTTTTAAAAATTAGGGTTCTTTTTGTTTTGGTTATTTAACTTATCAAATTTTCACTGGGATAATTTTATTGCAATTATTTATTCTTAATTGTTTGACAAAAAAAAATGGTTATTTTTAATTGTAAGGTTATTGGACTACTGTGATTGAAATTTATTGATGGTCGAATCATATCGATTTGAATGAGAATTTGTTCCTCAATGTGCTTTCCCCTCCAATTTAGATGTTATTGCAGTTAGGGTTTGTGCGACTTCTGAAACTGGGATATTTTCTTTGGTGAAGTTATGATTCTGCAACTGAATTGATTTTCAACTTTCAAATTCGGGTTTTGATTCTAATGTTGTTTCAATTTGGTTGATTTTACAGGTTCTGGAATTGGCTGGCAATGCAGCAAGAGACAACAAGAAGACTCGCATTGTGCCGCGCCACATTCAGCTCGCTGTGCGGAATGACGAGGAGCTCAGCAAGCTTCTTGGGGATGTGACAATTGCAAATGGTGGTGTGATGCCCAACATTCACAACCTTCTGCTCCCAAAGAAGACCGGTGCCTCCTCCAAGAACGTCGGTGGTGATGATGACTCTTAGATTCAAAACAAAATGTCGATCGTTGCCGGACTAATATGTTCCATTTCAGATTTAGTTCTGTCCAGTAGGTCAAAGTAGGTTATTGGGGTCTTTGTTTCTGGAAATGTAGTTGGGTTTTAGGGTTAGGGTTGTAGGTTAGTAATGTTTGTGAATATAATCATCTTCTAGCTTCTTGATAGATAGAAGATTTTTGTGGGAATGTCTTTTGCGTTGTTTTTTGGATGTGTTATTTGTGGGTTTAAATACCTAATGACAATGCTTCAAAGTTTGAGCATCATATGATTCTTATGCTGTATTGTTTTCTCAGGTTTCACTCTTTCATTTGTGCTATTTTTCTTGAGTATTTACAGGCGCTTATCGACACATTTGACCGTTGAATTTGATCTATTCAGATGAATGTTTTTGCACTTTACATGATAGTGAAAACGTTAAAATGTATTTTTAGTTATGGCTATGGACAGGGATGGCAATTCGTGTTTTGTGAGTACGTACTGTGGAGTCTTGACCCTCACGCGGTTGCCAATCCACACCGTTGAGGTGTTCATGTCAATGAAGCACTCGACACTGCTGCCATGGTGACAACTCATTTTAATGGTTCATGTCCGATTCATGTTTGACCATATCGTTTTCGAGTCGGATTGTCCTGTTTCCGAACCTATGTAACTCAATTGAAGGGCGATTTTGCAACAACTGTTTGGTCAGAGATCAAGTAGTCACTACTCGGTAGAAAGTTTCAGTTTAAATATCATACTCCAACAGACTTCGCAACTTTAAAAATTCATAACGATGACATAATAACGATGACAAAATTTCCGGTACATAAGGTCCGTACTTCTTCTTTTCCAGGGCCTAGATGTCACTAGCAGGCTCATTCCTGCAAAAACACACCGAGTTAAGTGCGTGATTTCCATTGCACCGAAAAGCTAATAATGGATCAACACACACCTTTTTACCGCTTCCGCTCTGCCCGCCACTTGAATACAGGGTTGGATGTTGGGGAGACAATCTCATCTTCACATAGTTTGCGTTTTTTACCCTTTTTCTGTAATTTAGACGGAAACGTATTCAAAACTATCCACAGACAACCAAACTCCCAGAACTGAGCAAAGAAATTTAGATGTCAATACCTTTAATTCCTTCTGCATTGCCATATCCATATAGATTTTCTCCAACTCATTGACTCTGTTACTCCTTGCTTCAAGCTCTCTGTAGGAACCAGCTGTTTTCCTGCACATTGAAGACAACAATTTAAGACTTAAAACAAAATAATGATATCGCGCTTCAAGAATCCTTGCTGACAATGAAACAGGAAGGCAGAGATGCAAGAATTATTCCACAAATTGAAAGGTAGCATAAGAATAACAGGAATTTGTTAACATGAGTGAGCTACCTAGGATTCAGGGACAAAAAAACGGCATAAAAGAAATTCTCAACCGAAATACAATTCCAACTAGCACCTAATAGTTGGGCCGCAGACCAACTTCTAATTTATTGTTTTTATTTCAATTTCAATTTTGCCAAAGAGCTCTTTATCCCATGCAAAGTTGGGCTTTAGTAGGCATAGCAGCAAAGAGCTGTTTATCAAACCGGTTAATAACTTAATACACAGAACAACTTTTGCGAGACAATTTTTTATTTTTTTTGCCATATACTTGTAACCATTAAGATTTGTTTATGCTCTTGTAGGTCAGTTGGCATAATCACAAATTACAATCACATAACTGTATAAAAGCCAAATTGCAGCTTTTAGACTAAACATTAAGAGACTAGGTTTGCTTAGAACCTTTTCTCTATTACGAAACATTCTAGTCCTATTCACTTCATGATTGATGGCCTGGTATCACAAAGTAATCTTATTGCTTTGAGAATGCAACCACGCAAAGTGCAAAGGGATCACTGCACAATTATTCTTAGATAGCAATAATGCCAAGATCTTATCACCATAATCAATGCATAGAAATGCATAATTGATGCAAAATTGATGAAAATCAAAAGACCAAAACTTCCAGAATAAACCTAACTCCTCAATCTGTCCTCTATCACTGAAAATTTTGTTTCTACCTTTTTATATGATCAGGAATGTCCTCAGAAACCGGCATTTTTCCACTTCTTGAACATGATTGAATTTCTCTAGCCTCCTCTCTGGAATAAAAATAATTAACAATATATTTTTTAAAATGTGCAAAACAAGATAAAACATATTTGGCAAATGGGAACATAAATGATGTGAAATTAAGAAACTACTTTCCCTCTGAACTCTTTCACCCGGAGTGGTCTCAAGTGAATTCTATAACATTATAGGTCTTACCCCCATGTGAAAGAATTGAAGAATAATGTCTTCCCAGGAAAAAATTAATAACACTAAGAAATTAGCCTAGTGTCCCCAATTGAAGCCATGAGGATCTACTCTATTATAACCATATGGGCCAGAAAGAAAGCAGTTCGCAGATTTATAATAGCACGCTTATAGTCCTTGTATCACTATATTTCTATATCCCCTTTCTCAGGGCCTTAATAGTTTTTGTAAATATACTCAAGTGAACAGGATGAAAAACATTTCATACGAGTCCAAAATAGGATCAGGAGAAACACACCTTTCATTTATTGATCAAGTTTTATGTATGCGTCTTCCCATTTGTTACAGTATTCCTTTTCAGTGTCTGTAAGGGTGGATGTGAAACTTCGGGTTCATGTACAGTAGATATGTGTTTGTGTTTGTGTGTGTTTTATGTTGTGTATTTGCTTGGAAAAAAGGGTTAAAATCACTCTAGATACTTATGCCTACTAATGAAAAAACCAATTCAATGAACATGAAAAATATACATAACAAAATCAATTAGAACAATGTAAACAGACATCTGTGGATAATAAGGGACAACAAAGAACCGAAAAATGGTGAAAATAGCCTTTCACCATATCCAGTCTGATTACAAATAACAGCAGCAACGAAAAATACAAATTAAAAAAATCCATTAATTCAGAATTATGATTCTCCATGGATAGAAGATGTGAAGGAAGCTCAAACCTGTCTTCGGCAAAGTAAACGTGTCTACTTGAAGGCCGATTATCAAGAGAGTGCAGTGTCGCAGTTAACTTTTCAATTTTCTGCATTAATTAACACCATAATAAGAACCAACATGTTAAATTCATAAAACCAACCGGTAGACCATAGCTTCATGATATATATTTATAACCTTTTTCTCACTCTGCACTTTCTGAAATATGTATCCAATATCTTGGGTCTTCATAAGCATGAGCTCTTCTGGAGTGTACTTGTTTGCCTGACTCCTGTAGTAAAAATCCATATCACGTGAGTAGCAAGTGTGAAAAAGAAACATGATATAGAAGAGCAAACGAGAGTTTTATGTTACTCTAATTTATGGACTCCATTAACAGTTCGTGTCTTGATCATCTTGAAGTTGAACTCATCTGGGTTTCTGTAGAAGGCTTTCTGCTTCAGTATCTGTTGAGTGAAAAGACAGACGAGACATAGCCTAAGATGTATACCATATCAGGAAGTTAAATTACCAGATTATTAATAGATGACGAAATCCAAGGAGAAAAACAACAAAGCCATCATAAAACTACCCGTAAAGTCTCCTCCTTTTTGTGATATGCTTTCGCACGCTCAACATAGTCCTTATGCTTTTCAAGAAGCCCAAATTTTTTCCTCGATTCCCTATCAAATATTTGGACCCAAAACACAAAAACATTAATCCCATCATCTGATGCAAAAAAACATCATCCGAAAGTCCAACAGCAAAAGGAATGTGGTCACTCACGGTTGAGCTCGCTCCTTGTGAGCCCGTCGGCTAACGGCATTCCTTAAAGACGACATGCTGAAAAATTCAAAGCAACCACCACAAGTTAAATGCGAAGGTAGCACTAAAGCTGAATTTTTTAAGCTGTGGAATTACAGATACAACAAATATTCATAACCATCTCAAACAAATTTGATAAACCACAATGTCGAACAATTAGGGAAATTAATTCTTGGGTAAGTTCCAAGAGCTTAAATCTTTACCCGTCGCTTACAACAATTGAATTGAATTGAATTAAAACCCTAAAAATCTAAGCAGCAACTAGGTTGTTAAAGTTGAGCAATTTGAAAGATGAATAACAATAACAAAGATTAAAGCGAAACAAACCTTGACGATGAAGAATTGGGATTCCTGAGCAGTCGAATGAAATTCCGAATCCCTCCTTACTCTTCAGATGGTGGAATTAAAGCGCAGGCAAAACCCTAGATGGAGAACTGGCCTTCGGAACACGCAGACTAAAACCCTAGAAAATTATTAGGGTATAAGAAGAAACGATTTTTAAAAAAGAATACGACAAACTCAATCAAACATCATTTTAATTATTGAATGACTACTAACTAACAGATGAAGATGGAAGAAATGTATAAGTTATTAACACACAAACAAAAAAAATTGCCAACGGCATGAATAAATTAGGCCATCAGCGGGTCTATAACCGGCCTCGAGCCCTTCAACAATCCCTACTTTGGATGAGTGTCAGAAATTAGATTTCAAAACACTAAATTAGTTACCTATTTTGGGGTGAGAGTGAGACTCGGACTCGGTGCTAGATCGAGAGTTCTGTCCGTGAGAGAGAGATCGCAAGAGTCGGAGACGATTCGTGAAGGAAGGCTGGAGAGTTCAGTCTTTGATGCTTTGGCGTGGCGGTGGCTGGGTGGTGATTCGTGAAGGAAGGCTGGGCGGCTGGAGAGTCAGAGACGATTCGAAGGAAGGCTGTCGGTGTTGGAAGGCTGAGTGAGAAATCAGAAATCAAACTAGACTGGGAGAAACCTAACAAGGAATGGATGGCATGGATTAATTTGAAGCAATCCAACGGTTCAAATTAACTCTAACTATAATTAAAAAAAACAATATATATTATTATCTATATATATATATAAAATAATTAAAAATATATATTTTCGGTTCGGTATGGGAATACCGAAATATTGGAAAGGCAATCCCGATTCCCATACCGAAATTTCGGTATTTTTTCGGTATGGGAATACTGAAATTTTGGGAAAATCGGTTTGGGACATTTTTGGTTTGGGATCGGTATTTTTTTGGTTTGGTTTGGGAATTTTGGGAATTTTTTCCACCCCTAGAATTGTTGATTACAACTAAGGAGGAGTGAGCAGTGGTTGTGTGTGCAGCGGCCTACGGCTGCTGGGTTTGTGTTCAGATGTAATTTGTAAAATTGGGTTTCCACACGACTTTTCTTTCTACTTTTTAGGCTAAGGGTGATAATAAATTAAATTAATTTACGATATGAAAGAAAATACATTTTAAGCTAATTGGACGGAATTCATGTCCACACATTATTTTTTACTTTTTATTTGAAAAACATTATAATGTTGTAAATAGAGGGTATGTATGCCCATATGCATACAGTAAATTTTTCACAAGCTTAATAGTATAATTTGTTTGCTTTCAAAGTATTTGCTCAATAAATAGAGCATTACGAGTGTTCAAAAATATATAGAGTGAGAAAGAAAGAAAAGTTCAAATATTTTCAGTATCCTCCTATTTCTCTCCTATCTGCAATTATTTTGTGTTACTGTAATATATTGCAACAACCTTGCTCATGTCCCTAGCAAAGGTTATCTCTCTAACTTTTGCCTATTTATAATACATTATCAGCACGACTCTATAATCATTTCTCATTTCCCTTCATCGAAAGAAAAAAAAATGTTTCCTCTAAGGTTTTTATTATTCTTCTTCCTCCTCTGCCTCAATTGTTGGATATACCCTCGCGAAGAACTGTTTTCACCATGTTTACTTCTAGTTCTCAACCTAACAATAACTTATATCTTTGATTTCTTATTTGGTGTAACTCTTGACTACTAACCCAGTGTTTATTTATGCAATCCAAGATGGTGCGGTATCATCGCCTATCTTGGACTGCAGATCTAATTTTACTGCAAATTTTAAGTGGAGCGCTATAATCGCACATCATATCCTGCATATTTAAATTTGCCTGCTATTTAATTTTATTGCAATTTTAGGTGGTGTGCAATAATCATCCACCCTGCTCTGCATATTTAAATTTTATCGCAATTTAGATGTTATTGTAGTTAGGGTTTGTGCGACTTTTGAAACTGGGATATTTTCTTTGGTGAAGTTATGATTCTGCAACTGAATTGATTTTCAACTTTCAAATTCGGGTTTTGATTCTAATGTTGTTTCAATTTGGTTGATTTTACAGGTTCTGGAATTGGCTGGCAATGCAGCAAGAGACAACAAGAAAACTCGCATTGTGCCGCACCACATTCAGCTCGCTGTGCGGAATGACGAGGAGCTCAGCAAGCTTCTTGGGGATGTGACAATTGCAAATGGTGGTGTGATGCCCAACATTCACAATCTTCTGCTCCCAAAGAAGACCGGTGCCTCCTCCTAGAACGTCGGTGGTGATGATGACTCTTAGATTCAAAACAAAATGACGATCGTTGCCGGACTAATATGTTCCATTTCAGATTTAGTTCTGTCCAGTAGGTCAAAGTAGGTTATTGGGGTCTCTGTTTCTGGAAATGTAGTTGGGTTTTAGGGTTAGGGTTGTAGGTTAGTAATGTTTGTGAATATAATCATCTTCTAGCTTCTTGATAGATAGAAGATTTTTGTGGGAATGTCTTTTGCGTTGTTTTTATGGATGTGTTATTTGTGGGTTTAAATACCTAATGACAATGCTTCAAAGTTTGAGCATCATATGATTCTTATGCTGTATTGTTTCTCAGGTTTCACTCTTTCATTTGTGCTATTTCTTGAGTACTTACAAGCGCTTGTCGACACATTTGACCGTTGAATTTGATCTATTGGCTGCGGCCAAGGATTGCGGTGCATACTAAGTATTGCCGATGCCAGAATACTTTGGTGCATGTTAGTATTTGCTAGCAATTATTGAATTGTCATAACTTTGTGCTCATGGTAGTGAAATTTATTCACCTGAATTTTTTTGCACTTTACATGACAGTGAAACCGTTAAAATGTATTTTTAGTTATGGCCATGGCCAGGGATGGCAATTCGTGTTTCGTGAGTACTCAAGACTGCGGAGTCTTGACCCTCACGCGGTTGCCAATCCACACCGTTGAGGTGTTCATGTCAATGAAGCACTCGACGCTGCCGCCAGGGTGACAACTCATTTTAATGGTTCATGTCTGATTCATGTTTGACCATATCGTTTTCGAGTCGGATTGTCCTGTTTCCGAACCTATGTAATAAACTCGCGATGAAACCCAAGCGCCACTGCCATCCTTGTTTGTCTAGCACTCAATTGAAGGGCGATTTTGCAACTGTTTGGTCGGAGATCAAGTAGTCACTACTCGGTAGAAAGTTTCAGTTTAAATATCATACTCCAACAGACTTCACAACTTTAAAAATTCATAACGATGACATAATAACGATGACAAAATTTCCGGTACATAAGGTCCGTACTTCTTCTTTTCCAGGGCCTAGATGTCACTAGCAGGCTCATTCCTGCAAAAACACACCGAGTTAAGTGCGTGATTTCCATTGCACCGAAAAGCTAATAATGGATCAACACACACCTTTTTAACGCTTCCGCTCTGCCCGCCACTTGAATACAGGGTTGGATGTTGGGGAGACAATCTCATCTTCACATAGTTTGCGTTTTTTACCCTTTTTCTGTAATTTAGACGGAAACGTATTCAAAACTATCCACAGACAACCAAACTCCCAGAACTGAGCAAAGAAATTTAGATGTCAATACCTTTAATTCCTTCTGCATTGCCATATCCATATAGATTTTCTCCAACTCATTGACTCTGTTACTCCTTGCTTCAAGCTCTCTGTAGGAACCAGCTGTTTTCCTGCACATTGAAGACAACAATTTAAGACTTAAACAAAATAATGATATCGCGCTTCAAGAATCCTTGCTGACAATGAAACAGGAAGGCAGATGCAAGAATTATTCCACAAATTGAAAGGTAGCATAAGAATAACAGGAATTTGTTAACATGAGTGAGCTACCTAGGATTCAGGGACAAAAAAACGGCATAAAAGAAATTCTCAACCGAAATACAATTCCAACTAGCACCTAATAGTTGGGCCGCAGACCAACTTCTAATTTATTGTTTTTATTTCAATTTCAATTTTGCCAAAGAGCTCTTTATCCCATGCAAAGTTGGGCTTTAGTAGGCATAGCAGCAAAGAGCTGTTTATCAAACCGGTTAATAACTTAATACACAGAACAACTTTTGCGAGACAATTTTTTATTTTTTTTGCCATATACTTGTAACCATTAAGATTTGTTTATGCTCTTGTAGGTCAGTTGGCATAATCACAAATCACAATCACATAATTGTATAAAAGCCAAGTTGCAGCCTTTAGACTAAACATTAAAAGACTAGGTTTGCTTAGAACCTTTTCTCTATTACGAAACATTCTAGTCCTATTCACTTCACGATTGATGGCCTGGTATCACAAAGTAATCTTATTGCTTTGAGAATGCAACCACGCAAAGTGCAAAGGGATCACTACACAATTATTCTTAGATAGCAATAATGCCAAGATCTTATCACCATAATCGATGCATAGAAATGCATAATTGATGCAAAATTGATGAAAATCAAAAGACCAAAACTTCCAGAATAAACCTAACTCCTCAATCTGTCCTCTATCACCAAAAATTTTGTTTCTACCTTTTTATATGATCAGGAATGTCCTCAGAAACCGGCATTTTTCCACTTCTTGAATGTGATTGAATTTCTCTAGCCTCCTCTCTGGCAAAAAAATAATTAACAATATATTTTTTTAAATGTGCAAAACAAGATAAAACATATTTGGCAAATGGGAACATAAATGGTGTGAAATTAAGAAACTACTTTCCCTCCCAACTCTTTCACCCGAGTGGTCTCAAGTGAATTCTATAACATTATAGGTCTTATCCCCATGTGAAAGAATTGAAGAATAATGTCTTCCCAGGAAATAATTAATAACACTAAGAAATTAGCCTAGTGTCCCCAATTGAAGCCATGAGGATCTACTCTATTATAACTACATGGGCCAGACAGAAAGCAGTTCGCAGATTTATAATAGCACGCTTATAGTCCTTGTATCACTGTATTTCTATGTCCCCTTTCTCAGGGCCTTAATAGTTTTTGTAAATATACTCAAGTGAACAGGATGAAAAACATTTCATACAAGTCCAAAATGGGATCAGGAGAAACATATTGATCAAGTTTTATGTATGCGTCTTCCCATTTGTTACAGTATTCCTTTTCAGTGTCTGTAAGGGTGGATGTGAAACTTCGGGTTCATGTACAGTAGATATGTGTTTGTGTTTGTGTGTGTTTGCTTGGAAAAAAGGGTTAAAATCACTCTAGATACTTATGCCTACTAATGAAAAAACCAATTCAATGAACATGAAAAATATACATAACAAAATCAATTAGAACAATGGAAACAGACCTCTGTGGATAATAAGGGACAACAAAGAACCGAAAAATGGTGAAAATGGTCTTTCACCATATCCAGTCTGATTACAAATAACAGCAGCAACGAAAAATTACAAATTAAAAAAATCCATTAATTCAGAATTAAGATTCTCCATGGATAGAAGATGTGAAGGAAGCTCAAACCTGTCTTCGGCAAAGTAAACGTGTCTACTTGAAGGCCGATTATCAAGAGAGTGCAGCGTTGCATTTAACTTTTCAATTTTCTGCATTAATTAACACCATAATTAGAACCAACATGTTAAATTCATAAAACCAACTAGTAGACCATAGCTTCATGATATATATTTATAACCTTTTTCTCACTCTGCACTTTCTGAAATATGTATCCAATATCTTGGGTCTTCATAAGCATGAGCTCTTCTGGAGTGTACTTGTTTGCCTGACTCCTGTAGTAAAAATCCATATCACGTGAGCAGCAAGTGTGAAAAAGAAACATGATATAGAAGAGCAAACGAGAGTTTTATGTTACTCTAATTTATGAACTCCATTAACAGTTCGTGTCTTGATCATCTTGAAGTTGAACTCATCTGGGTTTCTGTAGAAGGCTTTCTGCTTCAGTATCTGTTGAGTGAAAAGACAGATGAGACATAGCCTAAGATGTATACCATATCAGGAAGTTAAATTACCAGACTATTAATAGATGACGAAATCCAAGGAGAAAAACAACAAAGCCATCATAAATCTACCCGTAAAGTCTCCTCCTTTTTGTGATACGCTTTCGCACGCTCAACATAGTCCTTATGCTTTTCAAGAAGCCCAAATTTTTTCCTCGATTCCCTATCAAATATTTGGACCCAAAACACAAAAACATTAATCCCATCATCTGATGCAAAAAAACATCATCCGAAAGTCCAACAGCAAAAGGAATGTGGTCACTCACGGTTGAGCTCGCTCCTTGTGAGCCCGTCGGCTAACGGCGTTCCTTAAAGACGACATGCTAAAAAATTCAAAGCAACCACCACAAGTTAAATGCGAAGGTAGCACTAAAGCTGAATTTTTTAAGCTGTGGAATTACAGATACAACAAATATTCATAACCATCTCAAACAAATTTGATAAACCACAATGTCGAACAGTTAGGGAAATTAATTCTTGGGTAAGTTCCAAGAGCTTAAATCTTTACCCGTCGCTTACAACAATTGAATTGAATTGAATTAAAACCCTAAAAATCTAAGCAGCAACTAGGTTGTTAAAGTTGAGCAATTTGAAAGATGAATAACAATAACAAAGATTAAAGCGAAACAAACCTTGACGATGAAGAATTGGGATTCCTGAGCAGTCGAATGAAATTTCGAATCCCTCCTTACTCTTCAGATGGTGGAATTAAAGCGCAGGCAAAACCCTAGATGGAGAACTGGCCTTCGAAACACGCAGACTAAAACCCTAGAAAATTATTAGGGTATAAGAATTGTTGATTACAACTGAGGAGGAGTGAGCAGTGGTTGTGTGTGCGGCGGCCTACGGTTGCTGGGTGTGTGTTCAGATGTAATTTGTAAAATTGGGTTTCGACACGACTTTTCTTTCTACTTTTTAGGCTGAGGGCTTTAGTTGGGCTTTAGTTGGCATAGCAGCAAAGAGCTGTTTATCAAACCGGTTAATAACTTAATGTACAGAACAACTTTTGCGAGAGAATTTTTTTATTTTTTTTGCCATATACTTGTAACCATTAAGATTTGTTTATGCTCTTTTAGGTCAGTTGGCATAATCACAAATCACAATCACATAACTGTATAAAAGCCAAGTTGCAGCCTTTAGACTAAACATTAAGAGACTAGGTTTGCTTAGAACCTTTTCTCTATTACAAAACATTCTAGTCCTATTCACTTCACGATTGATGGCCTGGTATCACAAAGTAATCTTATTGCTTTGAGAATGCAACCACGCAAAGTGCAAAGGGATCACTGCACAATTATTCATAGATATCAATAATGCCAACATCTTATCACCATAATCGATGCATAGAAATGCATAATTGATGCAAAATTGATGAAAATCAAAAGACCAAAACTTCCAGAATAAACCTAACTCCTCAATATGTCCTCTATCACCGAAAATTTTGTTTCTACCTTTTTATATGATCAGGAATGTCCTCAGAAACCGGCATTTTTCCACTTCTTGAACGTGATTGAATTTCTCTAGCCTCCTTTCTGGCAAAAAAATAATTAACAATATATTTTTTAAAATGTGCAAAACAAGATAAAACATATTTGGCAAATGGGAACACAAATGATGTGAAATTAAGAAACTAATTTCCCTCCGAACTCTTTCACCCGGAGTGGTCTCAAGTGAATTCTATAACATTATAGGTCTTATCCCCATGTGAAAGAATTGAAGAATAATGTCTTCCCAGGAAAAAATTAATAACACTAAGAAATTAGCCTAGTGTCCCCAGTTGAAGCCATGAGGATCTACTCTATTATAACTACATGGGCCAGACAGAAAGCAGTTCGCAGATTTATAATAGCACGCTTATAGTCCTTGTATCACTGTATTTCTATGTCCCCTTTCTCAGGGCCTTAATAGTTTTTGTAAATATACTCAAGTGAACAGGATCAAAAACATTTCATACAAGTCCAAAATGGGATCAGGAGAAACACACTTTTCATTTATTGATCAAGTTTTTTGTATGCGTCTTCCCATTTGTTACAGTATTCCTTTTCAGTGTCTGTAAGGGTGGATGTGAAACTTCGAGTTCATGTACAGTAGATGTGTTTGTGTTTGTGTGTTTTATGTTGTGTATTTGCTTGGAAAAAAGGGGTTAAAATCACTCTAGATACTTATGCCTACTAATGAAAAAACCAATTCAATGAACATGAAAAATATACATAACAAAATCAATTAGAACAATGGAAACAGACCTCTGTCGATAATAAGGGACAACAAAGAACCGAAATATGGTGAAAATTGTCTTTCACCATATCTAGTCTGATTACAAATAACAGCAGCCAAGGAAGAAAATATCGGTAATATCGGAAATATCGGTAGTCCGAAAACACGGAAATATCGATGGAAATATCGGGATAATATCGATATCGATAAAAATTACATGGAAACCACGGAAATTGTAAGAAAAACTTGGAAATTTTTATTGAAACTTTGCATGATGTTTATTTAGTCAATTATCTATTAGTTTATCACAAAAAATTGGAAGGAAATGCATTGCATGATTGATTTAACATTATCAAGTTGATTATATAGCGAGCTGACAAACATTGTGAGTGTAGAAAATATGTAGTAATTAATGAAAGAAGTCTAAACACACCATAATCATTTATATATAATGAATTAGTACAATATTTTACACTTTATACATTGCATTTTTGGTTCTTCTCTGACAGAATTTGGTCTTCACGTGGAGAAGAAGATAAAGTAAGCAGATTTTTTGGTTCTTCTCTGACAGAATATTTGGTTCTTCTGAGCAAAGTCACTTCCAATTCTTTCATACAAAACCGTGTGCCACACACACACATCCTCAAAGTTTTTTTCTTTTTCTCTCGGATAACACACACACACACACAAAACCATGGTTTTATACAAAACCATGTGCCAAAACTCTCTCGGATAACACACACACACATAACCATACACACACACACAAAACCATGGTTTTATACAAAACCATGTGTCAAACCGTGTGCCACAAACACACACACACACACACCCTCAATGTATTTTTTTCTTTCTTTCGGATAACACACACACACACTTCTCCCTCATTCCACACACACACACACGCACACACCCTCCATCTACAGAGATCGGAGATCTCTCTTCTCCCAAACACACACACACAGAGATCGGAGATCTCTCTTCTCCATTCTCCGATCTCTCTTCTCCCTTCTCCGATCTCTCTTATCCCAAACACACACACACACACAGAGATCTCTCGATCTCTCTTCTCCCTTCGCCGTTGATCGTGGCTCTGGCGAAGTCGGAGTTGGCTCAGTCGTCTCTGGCGGTGCGCCGCTGAGCAAGGATCACGTTCAGTCATCTGGTTCGTCTTCGTCTTCGTCAGGTGAGATTCCATTGAAACCCTAAACCCTAAACCGACTTCACATATGTTGAATCGTTTATGCATGCGTGAAATCTGAAGTTTATATGTGAAATTGATGTTAAAATTCGTGTTTTTGCAAGGTTTTTGGGACAAAATCGGCCCGGGAATAGGCACACCGTCTCCGGCGTTCTTCTCCGACGTCGCCTCGGAGTCCGATTGCACCAAACTCAAAAAAATTTCGCCGATATTTCCAAAATATCGTGATATTATCGATAATATCGCGATATTTGGCCGAAAACATTCGGATACCACTTAGAATATCCATCACCCGAAAAACCGATAATATCGGCGATATTTCGCCGATATTATCGGCATTTTCTTCCATGACAGCAGCAACGAAAAATTACAACAACAACAACAACAACAAAGTCTTTTCCCACTAAGTGGGGTCGGCTATATGAATCTTAGAACGCCATTGCGCTCGGTTTTGTGTCATGTCCTCCGTTTGATCCAAGTACTCTAAGTCTTTTCTTAGAGTCTCTTCCAAAGTTTTCCTAGGTCTTCCTCTACCCCTTCGGCCCTGAACCTCTGTCCCGTAGTCACATCTTCGAACCGGAGCGTCAGTAGGCCTTCTTTGCACATGTCCAAATCATCGGAACCGATTTTCTCTCAACTTTCCTTCAATTTCGGCTACTCCTACTTTACCTCGGATATCCTCATTCTCAATCTTATCCTTTCTCGTGTGCCCACACATCCCACGAAGCATCCTTATCTCCGCCACACCCATTTTGTGTACGTGTTGATGCTTCACCGCCCAACATTCTGTGTCATACAACATCGCTGGCCTTATTGCCGTCCTATAAAATTTTCCCTTGAGCTTCAGTGGCATACGACAGTCACACAACACGCCGGATGCACTCTTACACTTCATCCATCCAGCTTGTATTCTATGGTTGAGATCTCTATCTAATTCTCCGTTCTCTTGCACGATAGATCCTAGGTAGCGAAAACGGTCGCTTTTTGTGATCTTCGCTAGATTGCTCCGGTCATTAGTGTGGATAAGTATATAAATGGATAGAGATAAGAAAGCAAACACAAGATGTACGTGGTTCACCCAGATTGGCTACGTCCACGGAATAAAGGAGTTCTCATTAATTGTGAAGGGTTTACACAAGTACATATGTTCAAGCTCTCCTTTAGTGAGTACAAGTGAATGATTTAGTACAAATGACATTAGGAAATATTGTGGGAGAATGATCTCGTAATCCCGAAACTTCTAAGTATCGGAGTGTGGTATCGTCTTGATTTGCCTTATCTGTCTCATAGGTAGATGTGGCATCTTCTCTGGAAGTACTCTTTCTCCATCCAAGGGTGGTATCTTTAACTAGTGGAGATGCACAAGGTAATGTATCAATTTCACTTAAAGCTTACTTGTAGTTTCAGGCTTGGTCAAGCGCGATACAAACCATGTAGTAGGAGTCCCCCAAGTCGCCGAGCTAGGGGATCTGCTGAAAGAGGTGACAGACAAGGTAAGCAATCAGAGCTCCGGCTGATTGTTCACATTCTCCCTATCTTGCAGGCAGCATGAAGGATAAAGAGAAGAAAAATGAGAAGAGATGATATGGGATACTTTTTCTTTTAAAGAAGTAACTTTCCACAGGCTTATTCTTGAACTGAGCTGGAGGGTTTTTTGGTTTCCTCCAGAGTATAAGGCCGACTGAAGAATTTGAGGGTTAAAACAAGTCCATCACATCTAGAGTACGTTCGACCATGCTGATATGGGATACTTTTGCTTTGACAGAGTAATGGATGTATCGGCACGTGTGCTGTTACGCTTGTCTCCACATGCTTCCTTGTATCCTTTTCACTTGCCCTATCTGTTCCTCAGGCAGATGCGGTATCTTCCCTGGGAGGATAAGATGTTGAAGATGAGTACTCGAGAGCAATGCCAGGTAAGTAATCAGGTAAGGGGTTCCAGGCAGTCAGTTCCTGGCTGGAAGCTTGATTCCAAGTGCTGACTGATTGCTCTCTTTCTCCTTGTCTTGCAGGTAAGAACAAGGCCAAAGGAAAAGACAGGGAAAAAGCATGATATGGGATACTCTTGCTTTTAACCCTGATGATATGAGATATTCTTGCTCTAGAATAGCTTGTTTGCAGAGGTATTATCGGGGGGAAAGAAAGCTGAATATTTCGAAAGGCTTTGTTGGGAGTGCCCTCTCAGATATGAGGAAGGGTTGAGCATTTTTGCAGGTTTGTCTGTCCGTTGGGGATGGAGGTCGACATATATAGGAGTCTCCTTAACAACAAGTAGTAATGTTATTGCTTTACCATGCTTGGTCATAGCACGGTAGTGGGAGCTGCCAGCTTTACATGTTTTAACTCTATCAGAGCACTTTGAAAAAGTGGTCTGTGGTATCTGGAAAGCTGATGTTGCGTGTGAAGATTACAGACAGCTTTATCCAAGGAGATCCAACTCTTGAAGTTGGGAAAGTGTTGCCTCTTTGGTTTTCGAACAAGCAATCCTATCGGGGATCTGGCTCTCGAGATTCGGAGAACGATGCCTCTTCGATTTTTGAGAAAGCAATCATGCCTGGCTCTCAAGATTCGGAAAGCAGTGTCTCTTCGATTTTTGAGAAAGTAATCATGTTGGGAGTCTGGCTCTCGAGATTCGGAGGGCGGTGCCTCTTCGATTTTGGAGCAAGCAATCTTGTTGGGAGTGTTTTCTCGAATGTGAGTAAAGGTTGGGCATGTTTGCTAGCCTACCTTGCCACGAAGCACAGAGGTTGACATACAGAGACTTTCCAATTATCCAACAATGATACTGTTCCTTTACCTTCTCTTCGATTTTTGAGAAAGTAGTCATGTTGGGAGTCTGGCTCTCGAGATTCGGAGGGCGGTGCCTCTTCGATTTTGGAGCAAGCAATCTTGTTGGGAGTGTTTTCTCGAATGTGAGTAAAGGTTGGGCATGTTTGCTAGTCTACCTTGCCACGAAGCACAGAGGTTGACATACAGAGACTTTCCAATTATCCAGCAATGATACTGTTCCTTTACCCTCTCTTCGATTTTTGAGAAAGTAGTCATGTTGGGAGTCTGGCTCTCGAGATTCGGAGGACGGTGCCTCTTCGATTTTGGAGCAAGCAATCTTGTTGGGAGTGTTTTCTCGAATGTGAGTAAAGGTTGGACATGTTTGCTAGTCTACCTTGCCACGAAGCACAGAGGTTAACACACAAGGACTTTCCAATTATCCAGCAGTGGTACTGTTCCTTTACCCTTGTGGGTAATAATATGGTAGCTAGACCTTCAAAATTTATGTGTCTAAACTTTGTTAGTGTTGTTTCTTTGCTATTCTTTTACCCTTCTTGGTCAGAGCGATGTAGTAGGAGCTGCAAGCTTCACGTGTTCAACTTTGGCAGAGAACTTTGGCAAAGTTATCTGTTGTACCCATGAGCTACTGTTGCGTGTGGGAAGTGGGTGATTGAACAGTAAGACTCATGTGCTTTCTACTTCACCAGAAGTCTTCGACAAAATGCCCATAATTTCCGCAAAGCTGAGTGTACGTGTGACAGGTGCTGACAAGGCTGGAAAAGTAGGTGCCTCTTTGATTTCTAAGATTGGCCCTCGTGGTCTCTGAGCAGCCCAGCTTTTGAGAAAGCAAACGCCTCTTCGATTTCTGAGATCGACCCTCGTGGTCTCTGAGCAGCCCAGCTTTTGAGAAAGCAAACGCCTCTTCGATTTCTGAGCAGGCGCCTCTTCTATTTCTGTAGCTCCGTCGAATGCAAATTTTTACAGGGGCTGGCATTAAGTTCCAAAGCACACTTGAATCTCCACCAGTAGAAGCTCCATTCTTGCACTTCTAAGATCTTGATTTGTCCGACCTCTTCTCTCTTCAACACCTTTGAAAATGTCTGGCCCCTCCGACCGTCGTTTTGACTTGAACCTTGTTGAAGAGGCAGCCCCGCCTTCTCCAGACAACATATGGCGCCCATCCTTCGTCTCCCTTACTGGTCATCTTACCGTTGGGGATTCCATGATGAAGAATGATATGACCGCTGCGGTGGTGGCCAGGAACCTTCTCACTCCCAAAGATAACAGACTACTTTCCAAACGGTCTGATGAGTTAGCTGTTAAAGAGTCTCTGGCTCTCAGTGTTCAGTGTGCAGGTTCTGTGTCTAATATGGCCCAACGCCTATTTGCTCGAACCCGCCAAGTTGAATCATTGGCGGCTGAAGTGATGAGTCTCAAACAGGAGATTAGAGGGCTCAAGCATGAGAATAAACAATTGTACCGGCTCGCACATGACTATGCTACAAACATGAAGAGGAAGCTTGACCAGATGAAAGAATCTGATGGTCAGGTTTTACTTGATCATCAAAGATTTGTGGGTTTGTTCCAAAGGCATTTATTGCCTTCGTCTTCTGGGGCTGTACCACGTAATGAAGCTCCAAATGATCAACCTCTGATGCCTCCTCCTTCTAGGGTTCTGTCCAGTACTGAGGCTCCAAATGATCCCCCTCTAGTGCCTTTTCTTTCTGGGGCTCTACCGACTGCTGAGACTTATCCTAAGCAACCTTTGTGAAGGCTCCCTCTTGTTTATTTATTTTGACTCATGTATATGTACATATTTGTAGCTTATCGGGGATATCAATAAATAAGCTTTCCTTCATTTCAACGTATTGTGTTAAATACATCAAAGCCTTCTTCGCTAAGTTCTTTGAATTTTCTTTTGATGAAGCTTTGTGAGTGGAACATGTAGATTGAGGTAGTGTTCCCTTAATTTCCTGAGTGAGGAAAACTTCTCGGTTGGAGACTTGAAAAATCTAAGTCACTGAGTGGGATCGGCTATATGAATCTTAGAACGCCATTGTGCTCGGTCCTGTGTCATGTCCTTCGTTAGATCCAAGTACTCTAAGTCTTTTCTTAGAGTCTCTTCCAAAGTTTTCCTAGGTCTTCCTCTACCCCTTCGGCCCTGAACCTCTGTCCCATAGTCGCATCTTCTAATCGGAGCGTCAGTAGGCTTTCTTTGCACATGTCCAAACCATCGTAACCGATTTTCTCTCATCTTTCCTTCAATTTCGGCTACTTCTACTTTACTCCGGATATCCTCATTCCTAATCTTATCCTTTCTCGTGTGCCCACACATCCAACGAAGCATCCTCATCTCCGCTACACCCATTTTGTGTACGTGTTGATGCTTCACCGCCCAACGTTCTGTGCCATACAGCATCGCCGGCCTTATTGCCATCCTATAAAATTTTCCCTTGAGCTTTAGTGGCATACGGCGGTCACACAACACGCCGGATGCACTCTTCCACTTCATCCATCCAGCTTGTATTCTATGGTTGAGATCTCCATCTAATTTTCCGTTCTTTTGCAAGATAGATCCTAGGTAACGAAAACGGTCGCTCTTTGGTATTTCTTGATCTCCGATCCTCACCCCTAACTCGTTTTGGCCTCCATTTGCACTGAACTTGCACTCCATATATTCTGTCTTTGATCGGCTTAGGCGAAGACCTTTAGATTCCAACACTTCTCTCCAAAGGTTAAACTTTGCATTTACCCCTTCCTGAGTTTCATCTATCAACACTATATCGTCTGCGAAAAGCATACACCAAGGAATATCATCTTGAATATGTCCTGTTAACTCATCCATTACCAACGCAAAAAGGTAAGGACTTAAGGATGAGCCTTGATGTAATCCTACAGTTATGGGAAAGCTTTCAGTTTGTCCTTCATGGGTTCTTACGGCACTCCATGATCATGTCGAATCCTTATGAAAATGAATCCAGAACAAAATCGCGCTAAATCTAGGGCGTCACCCGTAAGTGGCGCGCTGTGTGGCCCGAGCACAGTGATAAGTGAGCAAGGGTCGCTGTATCTCCATCGGCACCCGGATGCAGTGTTAAATGAGCAAGGGGGCCATAGAAACTTCTTTTCGAACGACTCCACTCAAAGTTGTTTGGGAGCATATGCTCCTATCAACTTTACACGGGGCACACAAAAGAAGTACTTTGATCCTATTAGACGGGGGAAGGTGAAGAAGCTAGGACAGAAGGGTAGAGTTCAAGAGAGCAAAATGCGTTTAGGAACGTGGAATATAGGAACCTTAACGGGAAAATCTATGGAAGTAGTGGAAGTTATGGTGAGGAGAAGGATAAATATTATGTGCCTACAAGAAACTAAGTGGGTTGGTAGTAAGGCAAAGGATCTAGAAAACTCAGGGTTTAAACTTTGGTATTCGGGCACAAATAGAACGAGAAACGGTGTTGGCATCATCGTGGATAAGACCTTGACACAAGATGTTGTAGATGTCAAGAGGGTAGGAGATAGAATCATGGCAATCAAGATTGTAATAGGACAAGAACTTATCAATGTGATTAGTGCGTACGCACCTCAAGTAGGGTTGGATACGAGTTCGAAGGAGAAATTTTGGGAAGACCTTGGAGACTTGGTGCAAGGAATTGCTCAGACGGAGAAGTTATTTATAGGAGGAGATTTAAATAGACACGTGGGCAGGGAGACAGGCAACTATGGAGGTTTTCATAGTGGCCATGGTTTTGGGGAGAGAAACGAGGATGGGGAAGCTATCTTGGATTTTGCAATGGCATATGATATCTTCTTAGCCAACACCTTCTTTAAGAAGAGAGAAGAACATGTGATCACCTACAAGAGTGGGTCGTCAAAAACACAAATAGATTTTCTTCTAATGAGGAAAGGGGATCGTATAACTTGTAAGGATTGCAAAGTTATACCAGGAGAGAGCATGGCTAATCAACATCGTTTGTTGGTGATGGATGTACATATCAAAAGAGTGAGACAAAAGAACAAGACTTGGAAGTGCCCAATGACTAGATGGTGGAATCTAAAAGAAGAAAAACAAGTCATTTTCAAAGAGAAAGTAATCACCCAGTGTGTGTGGGATAAAGAGGGGGAAGCTAGCCAAATGTGGGATTCCATGGCTAGTTGTATCCGAAAAGTAGCAAAAGAGGTATTGGAAGAGTCCAAGGGCTTTGCCCCACACCAAAAGGAATCTTGGTGGTGGAATGAGGAGGTACAAACAAAGGTGAAGGCTAAGAAGGAATGTTGTAAAACCTTATACAAGGATAGGACTGATGAAAATGGTGAAAGGTATAGAAAAGCGAAGCAAGAAGCGAAGCTCAAACCTGTCTTCGGCAAAGTAAACGTGTCTACTTGAAGGTCGATTATCAAGAGAGTGCAGCGTCGCAGTTAACTTTTCAAATTTCTGCATTAATTAACACCATAATTAGAACCAACATGTTAAATTCATAAAACCAACCGGTAGACCATAGCTTCATGATATATATTTATAACCTTTTTCTCACTCTGCACTTTCTGAAATATGTATCCAATATCTTGGGTCTTCATAAGCATGAGCTCTTCTGGAGTGTACTTGTTTGCCTGACTCCTGTAGTAAAAATCCATATCACGTGAGCAGCAAATGTGAAAAAGAAACATGATATAGAAGAGCAAACGAGAGTTTTATGTTACTCTAATTTATGGACTCCATTAACAGTTCGTGTCCTGATCATCTTAAAGTTGAACTCATCTGGGTTTATGTAGAACGCTTTCTGCTTCAGTATCTGTTGAGTGAAAAGACAGATGAGACATAGCCTAAGATGTATACCATATCAGGAAGTTAAATTACCAGACTATTGACAGATGACGTAATCCAAGGAGAAAAACAACAAAGCCATCATAAAACTACCCGTAAAGTCTCCTCCTTTTTGTGATATGCTTTCGCACGCTCAACATAGTCCTTATGCTTTTCAAGAAGCCCAAATTTTTTCCTCGATTCCCTATCAAATAGTTGGACCCAAAACACAAAAACATTAATCCCATCATCTGATGCAAAAAAACACCATCCGAAAGTCCAACAGCAAAAGGAATGTGGTCACTCACGGTTGAGCTCGCTCCTTGTGAGCCCGTCGGCTAACGGCGTTCCTTAAAGACGACATGCTGAAAAATTCAAAGCAACCACCACAAGTTAAATGCGAAGGTAGCACTAAAGCTGAATTTTTTAAGCTGTGGAATTACAGATACAACAAATATTCATAACCATCTCAAACAAATTTGATAAACCACAATGTCGAACAATTAGGGAAATTAATTCTTGGGTAAGTTCCAAGAGCTTAAATCTTTACCCGTCGCTTACAACAATTGAATTGAATTGAATTAAAACCCTAAAAATCTAAGCAGCAACTAGGTTGTTAAAGTTGAGCAATTTGAAAGATGAATAACAATAACAAAGATTAAAGCGAAACAAACCTTGACGATGAAGAATTGGGATTCCTGAGCAGCCGAATGGAATTCTGAATCCCTCCTTACTCTTCAGATGGTTGAATTAAAGCGCAGGCAAAACCCTAGATGGAGAACTGGCCTTTGGAACACGCAGACTAAAACCCTAGAAAATTATTAGGGTATAAGAATTGTTGATTACAACTAAGGAGGAGGGAGCAGTGGTTGTGTGTGCGGCGGCCTACGGCTGCTGGGTGTGTGTTCATATGTAATTTGTAAAATTGGGTTTCCACACGACTTTTCTTTCTACTTTTTAGGCTGAGGGCGATAATAAATTAAATTAATTTACAATATGAAAGAAAAATACATTTTAAGCTAATTCGACGGAATTCATGTCTGCACATTATTTTTTACTTTTTATTTGAAAAATATTATAATGTTGTAAATAGAGGGTATGTATGCCCATATGCATACAGTAAAATTTTCACAAGCTTAATAGTATAATTTGTTTGCTTTCAAAGTATTTGCTCAATAAATAGAGCATTACGAGTGTTCAAAAATATATAGAGTGAGAAAGAAAGAAAAGTTCAAATATTTTCAGTATCCTCCTATTTCTCTCCTATCTGCAATTATTTTGTGTTAGTGTAATATATTGCAACAACCTCGCTCCTGTCCCTAACAAAGGTTATCTCTCTAACTTTTGCCTATTTATAATACGTTATCAGCACGACTCTATAATCATTTCTCATTTCCCTTCATCGAAAGAAAAAAAAATGTTTCCTCTAAGGTTTTTACTATTCTTCTTCCTCATCTGCCTCAATTGTTGGATATACCCTCGCGAAGAACTGTTTTCACCATGTGTACTTCTAGTTCTCAACCTAACAATAACTTATATCTTTGATTTCTTATTTGGTGTAACTCTTGACTACTAACCCAGTGTTTATTTATGCAATCCAAGATGGTGCGGTATCATCGCCTATCTTGGACTGCATATCTAATTTTACTGCAAATTTTAAGTGGAGCGGTATAATCGCCCACCCTATCCTGCATATTTAAATTTGCCTGCTATTTAATTTTATTGCAATTTTAGGTGGTGTGGAATAATCACCCACCCTGCTCTGCATATTTAAATTTTATCGCAATTTTAGATGGTGAGAAATAATCACCCACTCAGCTCTGCATAGTTAATTTTATTGCAATTTTAGGTGGTGCGGTATAATCGTCCACCCTGCTCTGTATATTTAAATTTTCCTGCTGTTTAAAGTGGTGCGGAATAATCGCTCATCCTATACTTGTTTCGATGAGAATTGTGTGGTACAGTTGCCCTTCTCATTAATCATGTAAATCTCGAGCTTGAAGTGTCGAGTACTTATCATTTTAGTCTAAAGATCAAAATTTGTAAGAACTAGAAGTTCTAACAATCGCCCTTTTCATTATTGCACGTTCTTACACACCTCATTTTTCCTTCAGAAAAGAAAATGGCGAACTTGGCAAAGCTTGATTTTGTTACCTTGGATATTACTGAAAAAAAACTACCTTACTTGGGTAATGAATGCCATGATCCATCTGGAGGCAGGAAAATCTTGGGAAAACCTTCAAAGAGGATAACAGTGCATCATCTCAAGATCGGGCGAAGGCCATGATCTTTATTCGTTGCCACCTGGATGAGGGACTGAAGAGCGAGTACCTCATGGTTGAAGATCCATTAACCCTTTGGAAGGCACTGAAAAATAGATATAATCACCAGAAGACGGTGATTCTTCCATGGGCCCGTTATGAGTAAACTCACCTAAGGATCCAGGATTTCAAGACGGTGGCTGAATACAATTATGCGATGTTCAAAGTTAGCTCCCAGTTGAAGCTCTGTGGAGAAACAATCACTGAGGAAGATATGCTGGAAAAGACTTTTAGCACCTTTCATGCCTCCAACGTGCTCTTGCAGCAGTAGTATAGAGAAAGAGGCTTTACTGAGTACAACAACCAGCTAATATCTGTACTCCTTGTAGCTAAGCAAAACAATGAGCTTCTGATGAAGAATCATCAGTCCTGACCTACTGGATCAGCATCATTCCCAGAAGTGAATGCTACTTCCCTTGAAGGAAATACCACATCCTCTTGTGGAAATAATTACAAACGAGGAAATGGCCATAAGCGAGGCCGATGGAATGGGAAAGGCAAGAACCATGGTGTCTAGTTTCACAACCAGGTTCCAAGGCATAATCTAAGCCCGAGCTTTAAAAATGCAAATCGCCAGAAAGGAAAAGCTTATATGAACACTCCTAGAAATCCTGAAGAAGTTTGCCATAAGTGTGGTGGCAATGGACATTGGATGCGTACTTGTCGCACCCCAAAGCATCTGGTGGATCTGTATCAAGTCTCCCTCAAGGAGAAGGGTGTCGAGACCAATTTCCTCGACCAGGCTCAACCGATGAAAACACATGATCCAGTGTCCAATTTATCAGGACAGTTGAAGACAACCCACCTGGATATTTCAGACTTTATTATTGAAAGAATGAATGAAGTTTATGGGTTCAATTGAATTATTTATGTTTAATGTACTCTTGTTATTTGTACTTGTGGTTTAATGCTCGCATTTTCAATTCAATAAAAGTAGTATTCCAATATGAATTAACTGCTTTTAACTGTAATTTCTTTACTCAGAGAACATGGATAAAAATTATGGTTATTCTCAAAACAAGAGCAATGGCGAAGACTTTTGTCTTGTAGACAGTGCAACCACGCATTCAATACTTCGAAATCGAAAGTATTTCTCGAACTTGGTACTTGCAAAAGTAAAGGTAACAACAATATCAGGACAATCAGATGCAATTAAAGGCTCAGGAAAAGCCTAGATTATGTTACCAAATGGAACAATATTGTCCATACAAAATGCGTTGTACGCCACTTGGTCTACTCGAAATTTATTGAGCTTTAAAGACATACATCTAAATGGATACCACATTGAAACGAAAAGTGTAGAAAATGTGGAATATTTATGCATTACCTCCAATGATACCCAGAAGCGTATATTGGAGTAGTTGCGTAGTTTATCAAGTGGATTGTATTATACATACATAAAGACAATTGAGGCATATACTGTCATGAACCAAAAGTTCATTGATTTAAAGGTTTACATATTTTGGCATGACTGTCTGGGTCATCAAGGATCTACCATGATACGCATAATCATTACCAACTCTAATGGACATCCATTATTGAGCAGACATATTGATGTCTCAAATGATAACCCTTGCAAGGCTTGTTCCTAAGGGAAGTTGGTAATTAGACCATCACAACTAAATGTTGATGATGAATCCCCATCACTTTTGCAAAGAATTCAAAAGGATATTTATGGACCTATTCAATCCCTTGTGGACCATTTCGATATTTTATGGTTTTATTGATGCATCTACCCGATGGTCACATGTTTGCCTATTGTCTACTCGAAATGTAGCTTTTGCGAGACTTTTTGTTCAGATAATTAAGTTGTGAGCACAGTTCCCAGATCATCCCATTAAGTTAATTTGACTTGATAACGCTGGTGAATTTACGCCTCAAACCTTTGATGATTACTGCATGGCACTGGGCATTGATATTGAACATCCAGTTCCTCATGTCCATACTTAAAATGGTTTAGCAGAGGCATTTATCAAGCGGCTTCAATTAATAACCCGCACTCTGCTCATGAAAATGAAATTACCAGTCTCTGCATGAGGACATGCCATCTTACATGTAGCATTATTGGTTCGACTGAGACTCATAGCCAACCACCAATACTCATCAATACAACTCGTGTTTGGACATCAACCAAACATTTCACATTTACGAGTTTTTAGTTATGCTGTTTATGTGCCTATTGCACCGCCACAACGAACTAAAATGGGACTTCAACGCAGACTGGGAATTTATGTGGGTTTTGATTCACCATCTATCATTAGATATTTGGAACCTTTGATGGTGATATGTTTACAACTCGTTTTGCTGATTGTCATTTTGATAAGACATGCTTCCCGTCGTTAGAGGGAGAAAAGATCGTTTCAGAAGAACGGCAAGAGCTGACATGTGTTGTTCCCACCTTATCTCATTTTGATCCATGAAACACTTAATGTGAAAATGAAATGAAAATGATCGTTCATCTTCAAGGTATTGCTAATCAAATGCCATATACATTTAATGATGCTTCGAAAGTGACAAAGTCACATATACCAGCTGCAAATGCACCTGCAAGAATTGATGTACCTGTTGGATAAAATAAAGTGGCAGCAAATGATTCATTCAGTGCATACCTGAAGCGTGGTAGACCTCCACGTTCAAAAAATTCAGCCCCTCAAAAGAGAAATATGAGGGCACAGTTGAACCCAAATGAAATCATTCGGGAAAAGAAAATGAATGATAAATCCACAATTCATGATTCTATACTTCTAAAAAAAGAAAATGTCTTTGATGAGACACATGTCCCTGAAGAGACAGAAGTACATGAAAGTAAAGAAATATCCATAAATTATGAATGTACTAATGAATTGTGGGATCGAAATAAAATAATCATCGACGATATGTTTGCATTTGCAATAGCCACTGAAATTATATTAAGTGATGACATTGAGCCCCGCTCTGTTGATGAATGTAAGCAGAGACATGGTTGGCCTAAGTGGAAAGATGCAATCCATGCAAAATTAAATTCCTTGGAAAGACAAAGTGTTTTTGGACCAGTAGTCCAAACCCGCCTGGTGTGAACCCCATAGGTTACAAATGGGTATTCACAAGGAAACGCAACGAGAAAAAACGAGATTGCAAGATATAAAGCACGACTCGTTGCACAAGGTTTTTCACAAAGACCTGAAATTTATTATGAAGAGACATAATCTTCTGTAGTGGATGCAATTACGTTCCGTTACTTAATAAGTTTGATGATTTCAAAAAAAAACTTGACATGCGACTTATGGATGTGATCACCGCGTATCTATATGGAGAATTAGATATTGACATATATATGAAAGTCCCAGAAAGATTTAAGTTGCCTGAAGCAACTAACAAACCACGCGGTATGTTCTCAATCAAATTAACTATATGGGCTAAAACAATCTGGACGAATGTGATATAATCGTCTCAATGAGTATTTGATCAAAGAAGGATATATCAAAAATGTCATCTGCCCTTGTGTGTTCATTAAGAAATCAAATACTGGATTTGCTATAATGACAGTATTTGTCGATGATATGTACCTAGTTG